CCGGCCAACAGCTGTCACTCTCCAGCTGTCCAGTTCTGAAGGCAGCACAGAAGTAAGCAGGGGCGGCTCTATGTTTTTTGCTGCCCCAAGCACGGCAGTCGGGCAGCCTTTGGCAGGACGCTGGCGGGCGGTCTGCTGGTCATGTGGATTCAGTGGCGTTTCTGCGGGTGATCTGCTGGTCCCGCACCTTTGGTGTACCCGCCGCCGAAGCTGCGGGACCGGCAGACCTCCCACAGGCATGCCGCTGAAGGCTGCCTGACTGCCGCCCTCATGGCGACTGGCACGCCACCCCCGCGGCTTGCCGCCCCAGACACGCGCTTGCTGTGCTGGTGCCTGGAGCCGCCCCTGGAAGTAAGGGTAGCAATACTGCGACCCCACCTTAAAATAACCTTGTGATCCCCCTGCAACTCCCTTTGGGGTCTAGGACCCCCAATTTGAGAAACACTGGTCTCCCCCCATGAAATCTACATGATATAGGGTAAAAGCACACAAAAGACCAGAATTCATGGGGGGAGAGCAGATTTCATGGTCCGAAACGCATTTTTCGTGGCCGTGAATTTGGTAGGGCCCTAGTCATGGGATAAGAGTGAAGGTCCTCTCATGGATCAGGAACAGGTTAAAGATAGGAAACAAAGGATAGAAATAAATGGTTGGTTCTCACAAAGGCAAATAGTGGAGTCCCCCAATTATTTGTGCTTGGATCAGTGTTGTTCAGCATATTCTTAAACGATCTGGAAAAGGGGGTAAACAGTGAGGTGGCAAAGTTTGCAGGTGATACAAAATTATTCAAGAATAAGATAGTTAAATCCAAAACTGACTGTGAAGAGTTACAAAAGGATCGCACAAAACTGGGTGACTGGGCAACAAAATGGCAGATGAAATTCATTGTTGATAAATGCAAAGCAATACACATTGGAAAAAATAATCCCAACTATACATACAAAATTAGGGGTCTAAATTAGCTGTAACCACTCAAGAAAGAGATCTTGTAGTCATCATGGATAGTTCTCTGAAAACACCTGCTTGATGTGCAGTGGCAGTCAAAAAAGCTAACAATGTTATGAACTATTAGGAAAGGGATAGATAATAAAACAAAAAATATCATAATGCCACTCTATAAATCCATGGTACACACACACAACTTGAATACTGTGTGCAGTTCTGGTTGCTCCCCATCTAAAAAAAGATATATTAAAATTGGTAAAGGTATGAAGAAGAGCAACAAAACTGATTAAGGGTATGGGACAGCTTCCACATGCGGAGAGATTAAAAAAACTGGGACTGTGCAGCTTAGAAAAGAGACAACTAAGGGGTGAAATGATAGAGATCTATAAATCAGGAATGGTGTGGAGAAAGTGAATAAGGAAATGTTATTTACCCCTTCACATAACACAAGAACCAGGGGTCACCCAATAAATTAATAGGCAGCAGGTTTAAAACAAACGTAAAGTACTTCTTCACACATTGCACAGTTAGCCTCTGGAACTCATTATCATAAGATGTCGTGAAGACCAAAAGTATAACTGGATTAAAAAAAGATTTAGATAAATTCCTGGAGGACAGGTCCATCAGTCGTTGCTAGTCAAGATGGTCAGGGATGTAACCCCATGCGCTGGGTGTCCCTAAACCTCTGACTGCCAATGTAAGATGAGGAGTCACCCTGTGGCTCCACAAATCCACAAGCCAGGAACTAGTCTGGTGACACTCAGGGCAGGTCTATAAAGCTCACCAGAGGATGAGCATCTTATTCTGTTTGCTGTTGCTCTAGGGCTTGGGAATCTTTCTTGTCTGATATTGGCAACAGACTCCTCAAGCCTTAGCCTGCTCCAGCCTTGCTCTTGCTCCAGCCCTGCTCTCACTTCGGTTTCACTTCCACGGCCACCATGCTCTGGATTCCTAATTCTGGTGCTGATCTCTGGCTCTGACCACTAGACCTGACCATCCCCATCATGGTTTTTGACAGCCAGATACTGGGACTGGACGACAGGGGATGGATCACTCAATGCTTGTCCTGTTCTGTTCATTCCCTCTGAAGTATATGGCATTGGCCAGTGTCGGAAGACAGGATACTGGGCTAGATGGACCATTGGTCTGACCCAGTATGGCCGTGCTTATGTTCTTATGACTAGAACTCCCGTTTAAAATTTTAAAAGAGTGTGTTGATTAAACCCAGACCATCAACCAGTCCTGATGTGGCCAGGACAGTGCTGAGTAACCGGTGCTCCAAATAATGTCGCAGGAAGATGGGGCAGCACTAGGTAGCTATTTAAAATGCTGCTGTTGCTTTCTCTTGGCAGCAGCTCAACAACCACATCCTTCCCTCCTTCCCTGCCTGCTTCTCCTCTGCTCTCAGTTGCCACAGCGGCTCCTGTCTCTTCCCCTTCAGCTACCTCTCAGCTTTTCACTGCAGTGAGCTGGAGTTGCTGCCAGCTGCTGTTGAGAGAGAGAGAGGCAGCTGGTAGGAAGCAGGGGAAGGGACCACTGAGCTGCTGTTGGGCAAGGAACTTACATCAGTCTCTGGAAGGTTGAAAGGGAGAAGCAGCCTTTGGGGGAGAAATTAGGGGGAAGCATTGAAGACCTTACTGTTTAATGACCCTAGGTTATGAGCCTGGATAAGGGGGAGGGAGGGTGTGTCTGTGTGGGGTCAATAGTAATGGAGTAGGTGTGGAGTGGAGATGATTTAGGATGAAAAATTAGGGTCCCTATTCATCACTGCACTACAGTCTTTTTATGCCAACTAGGCTAGCATAAAGGGCTCACAAGGCTGGCATGAACACTCCCCACTCCCAGTGCCCAGGTCACACAGGAGCCAAGATGGAGGGCATGTCCTCAGGTGGGGTGAGCAGGAGTAAAGAAGGGATGTTCTGTAGGGGCCTTTGAAGCAGAGATGCAAGATAGGTCAGTCTTCATAGCTGGCCTACCTAGTCTGTGCCAGTGCAAGCTGCTTTTCCTTTGTCCCTGTGCTGGTGCAGGAATGAATTCTGTACAAACAGCTCAGTGTTAGGCAGGGCTGATGAGAGGGGGGGAAAGCCGGTACAAATTTCCGGGTCCCGGTGGTCCAGAAGGGGGCCCGGGGCCCAGCTTCCCACCCCCTCTCATCAGCCCTGTTTAGCCGGTCCGCCCTTGCTGGGGGGCCCGAAAAAATTCCAGGCCTGGCTTCCCCCCCTCCCCCTCGTTGGCCCTGTTGAGCTTGAGGTGTGGGTGAGCCACCCAGGAAAAAAGGTTGGAGAGACAGGCAGATTTGTAAATCATCAGCACAGAGATAATAGCTGAATCTATGTGAGTGGATTAAATCACCCAGTTTGTATTGATCACTGGGTAGCCATAAACTGTTAACCATAGATTTATAGTGAAGGAACAGAAAGCAGACATAAAAAGAAACTTGAAATTACAATGTATAGTTCAAGAAAAGAAAGACTACTGCGTGTGTATATATATATACACACCATTTATTTAAATTTCTTAAGCATCCATCTTAAGCCATGGGCACTTTTATACACCTTCTTATACACTTAATGAGATCAGTGAAGTATATGGACATTCAGGACAAACAAACAACAAAGCCTACCTCCATTAATAGCAATAAAATGACCTTTCCATCCCACCTTTACTCCAAATTGCATCTTTTCTTTCAAACATTTGGGGAGGGTATGGAACATATAGCCCAAGCATGTAATTGCAGTTAAATAGATGTTTTTAAATGTGGCAGTGGACTGCAAATAACCATCTCAAACTAGTTAAGATTGTATAAGTTAAAACCAACTTCCTGAATATCAACTGGAAATCTACAGGCAGAGCAGCCAGTGCAGATCAGAAACTGATGTTATATGTTTTATGTGACATACTGCTTAAGGAATCTGCAAAAGAAGGGGTTTCTCCGTGTTATTTTTTTTTTACTTCTTTATGATTATTAAAGAAAAACTGAAAGATTGTTTTGTATCTCTCTCTCTCGTTAATAAAAATAGTTTGGCTATGCTTGGTTTTTACATTCAAAATTCAGGTCTTGCCTAACCTAGAAGTCGAAGACTCTATGACTACTGAAGCATTAGTGAAATAGTGATCTTACAAGAGCCAGGAATGAAATTTGAGCAATAGAGAGGAAGGGACTGCTGGTGAGACTATTTAAAAATCTTCTTCCCTTACTTAGGGCTTGTCTACACTGGCACTTAATAGCACTGCAACTTTCTTGCTCAGGGGTGTGAAAAAAAAGTTTCAGTGCTGTAAAGCGCCAGTGTAGACAGTGCACCAGAGCTGATAGCTACTCTTGTGGAGGGGTTTTTTTTATAGCGCTGGGAGAGCTCTTTCCCAGCGCTGGTGCCGTGACTTAGGGTGACCAGATGTCCTGATTTTATAGGGACAGTCCCGATATTTGGGGCTTTGTCTTATATAAGCGCCTATTACCCCCCACCCCGTCCCAATTTTTCACACTTGCTATCTGGTCACCCTAGCCGTGACTACACAGCCACCTTGCTAGTGAAGACATACCCTTAGTTGTTGTTAGCAGGTATTTAACTGCAATGACTACTTAACATTTTGGATAATGGGCATCGTTACAAAGACCCCACATTCTGCCCTAGCTTCTGTGTCTGACCCGCCTCCAGATGTTGTCCTACGCAGACTGCATTACAGCAGTGCCCTTCCCAGATGGCTCATGCCCGGGTAACGTAGCACGGACTATGTATGAAAGGAAAGTTTTCGCAGCTGTGAGGCTGGTGCTTGTGCCATTGATTTGTGTGGCTTCAGGGATGCCCCAGGGCAACGTGACACTTGGAATGAGGGATATGTCGGGGAAACCGGGAGTGAGAAATGACTTGCCAATGAGGAGCCTCCCTCCCTCTCAGTGCGCTAGGCCAGGGACAATCCAGTTGGGCTATTGGGCTTCTCAGTGCATGGAGCAGACGGGAGAGGAGGGGCTGAGATGCAAAGGGAGGATTTGGACGGGACCTCCCCATATTGCGGATGGGGAGGGGGGCGTTGGTTTGGGATTACCTGACACTTACAAGCGGGCGCTGAGCTGCTACCTGTGGTGTAACCCCAGGACCCCTGCAGCTGGTGTGTCCCGTCCCCGAACCTTTCCCCTTCTCAAGGCAGCAGCAGCCTGGATGCATGTGGATAGCTCGGCGGGCGATTGCTTTGGGCTAGCGGAGGCTTTGCTCCGGCCGCCACCGCTTGTCCATGCGGCCGGGCGCTCGGCTCTCCGCTGCTCCTGCCTATCTCCCTGGGATGCCGCCCGCCGCCGCCGGGTCTCTGGGAGAAGCCGAGCGGCCGCAGCCGGAGAGTGAGCGCGAGCCAGCGGCAGCCCCTTCGCGAACCACGGCCGGAGAGGAGACGCGGGGCCGGGCCTGGCCGGGAGCGAGCGGGGCCGGAGGAATGGACCCGGGCCGAGACGTGCAGTGACCGGGAGCAAGTGGACAGCAGCCGGGTCCGGGCCGGAGCGAGCGAGGGGCCCGCCCCCAGCAGCATGGAGCCGCCTCCGGGCGCCCCTGGCGAGCCCGCGCCCTGGGGGGCAGGAGCCCTTCGCGGGGCAGGAGCCGGAGGAGCTGGACGGAGCCGCTGCGGGCGTGATGGACCGGATCCTGCTGGAGTCGGTGTGCCAGCAGCAAGGCTGGGCCCGGGTCTATGGTGAGGAGCTCCCCGTGTTCACCAGGCAACCCCCCACTGTGCCTAGCGCCGCCGGCCCCCGGGGGTACCGAGCAACCCCCCGCCACCGCTGTTCCTAGCGCCGCCGCCCCTCGTGTTCACCGGGCAACCCCCGCCTCCGCTGTGCTTAGAGCCCCCGCTCCCCCCCCCCGTGTTCACCGGGTAACCCCCCGCCCTCGCTGTGCCTAGCGCCGCCGCTCCCCCCGTGTTCACCGGGTAACTGCCCGCCCCCTCTCCCCTCGGGCACGCTGTTGCCCTGGAGAGCTGTGACCCAGCGCAAGCCTTTGGTTCAACTTCATGCGCTCTGGACGCACGCGGAGCGGGGGGGAGCGAAGAGGCTGGAAATCAGAGTCGTTGCCTCAGTTCTTAAGTGGCATGCCCCAGACTTTTGGAAGTTCATGGGGGGGGGGAGTGTCTCCCCTCAGACACTGGGGAGAAGTGGTGTTGCGCTCCAATTTTTAGGTGCTGCAAATCACGTTTATACGAGTGCTTTGCTTGCCTGTTACTGTGAAGCTGTAGCTGACAACAAAGCAAAGGAATATAACGATGTCTGAGACCCAGTGTCTCAGGGTTGAGAAGCTGCTCGGAGCTGTCTCTGCAATCAACTCTTTGCAAGTGAATAATGAAAACAGAGTAACTTCTGAGAGAGAGAGAGAGAGAGAGAGTGCCTATGTAGGTAAAGCCAAACTCCTGGCACAGCCTCTGCTCTCTCCCCATCTCCCACCCCACTCCTTAAAAGAACAGCTCTGTTCAGCTGTGAACGCTGTTGTCAGAAACAGCCCTACAGATTAGGTTTCAGAATGTGCTATTGTTTACAGTCCCCTTTGTCAAGTGGCTGGCATGGGATTCCATCAGAGATTCGGCAGCAGGTTGAAAAGTGATGAACAGATGAAAATTTTTAGTGTCTGCATTCATCCTTCCTTTCTGGTGATTGCAACTGTTGAATGTCCCTATGTAAAGAGTTCTGATTAGCACCAATTTATAATTCCCTCTGAGGAAAAAACATAGGCTTTTAAAACCAGCCGTTTTACAAATTTGCTGGCAGGAAGCACTAGTTAAAATACCCTACGATTCTCCCCCCTCCCCCCCCCAAACAAATGTTAAAATGTCAAGATGTTTATGCTTAGCAGTGCAGGTTGAAACCCTTTGTACTGAGACTATACAAGTCAAATACAGGATGTTCAATTTAAAGTACCCTAGGATCCAACAAATACAAAGATGTTATCATGGAACAATCTACATTTAAACCTTTTGTGTTGCTAGTAGTCAAGTACAGAACACAAATGTGCACTGTGCTTCATTTGCACCCCTTGCCAGCAGGGTTTCTGATTACTATTAATGAATTACTAAAGGCCTGGAAGATACTGATATGATTGGTCCCGTGGCTCCATAGTTACTGCTGTATATTAAACTGGCATCTCTATTATTTATAGTAAAGGTTGATGAGAGTCTGGAAAAGGATATTAAAATCTTTAGCAATCTGGCTGCAGTACAAGACCCAGTGTTATTTCCTATTCTTTCTCAAACCCTCCCTGGTATGTAACCTCCTAAAATAAACCTGACTTGTATGCCCAGCCTATTCCCAGGCTCTGATTTTGTTTTTAGCAGCAGTATATGCTCTAAGTTGAAACATCATGAAACTTGAGGCTCTTGACCAGTGTCTAAATAGTGGATTAGTGTTTTATTTGTCTTTCTGTAGTTCTGCCTTCTCTTCTATTTGCTCAAAGCATCTCACAGTAGTTACTCCTGTTACTTGCCTCTAAGCGAAGATTACTCTCCAGCCAGGATCTTGCTTTCCCTCCAGAGAAATACTTGACAGTCCAAACACGTCTTGTGCTCTTAATGGTTGCAATATTTGAATACACAGTTGCTATATTACCTCTACCTAACACAACTCAAAGTACTTCAAAGGGCTTCACAGATTCTTGATTAAATCCAAACCTGTCATGTCCTCATGGTTTCACTCTAGAGGACACTAATTTTATCCCCCTGAAAGAATGAATCCCCCTGACCAGACTCCACAACTTGGTCCTAGTCTACATGGTTAGGAACAAGTGGTCTTTGATGCCATTCTCTGTGTAGCATCACTCCTGAAGCATAAACATGTTATCTCCAGGATGTCTGAGAACAACTAGTGGCTGAGAAACAATTGACTGCTCTTAGTTTTAGTGGGTACCACCAAAGTTGGTTTTTGTCAGGTATCAATGGGGAAATCAGGCCATCATTCCTATGGAAGATGCATCATATCCAAAAGATCTTCATCCTTCATATTGAAACTGTTACAAGACAGTGCTGGGAGATTAGATGATTGTTGTCTTGTGTCTTGTATAGTACTACGCAAAGTGGTGCTTAACAACATAGTTACACCGATAACACTTTCCTCTCCCTCTTTCCTTTTAGTAGTATCAGCTTAATGTGTAAGTGATTGCAGAACATAGTGGAGGTTTTTTTTCCCAGAAGGATAGTGTGAACAGAGTACAGAAGAGAGCAGTTTAGCACTGAGCTGTATACTTGTTTAGAATTTTTCCTAAGGTCAAGTCGTGGAGCAAAATGAGAATGTACTTGTGGGGAGAATGTCTGGCACCAGACAATCTGATTGTTGCAGGATATAACCTTGGGTATTAGTGGAAGCAGTAATGCAATTTCAAAATTAGCCATGGTGTAAAACATTAGTTGTTGATAAAGTCACATTGTACATCCTGTTTTGTGTCGTCTGACACTCGCATGCAGGCAGAAATAGTCTGATTTGCCTGTGTACCAGTACAACTAGCTCAAAGGCTGTAGAAGTTAGAGATGTATTCAAACATGATTGTTCAATAAAAGTGAATTTTGTAACCCAAGGGCTGCAGGTTTTTTAGTTATCAAAACAAAGTAATTACTAGTTCTTATCTTCAGATGAAGAGATCTGGTGGTGGTAATGTCTTCTCTTCCTCCCTGCAGAATTGCATTTTGTTTTGATAGTAAACAAATATTTCATCCTGCTTACTATTGCTTGTGATCCTTTCACAGATTGATCTGACTAAGTTTGTGGGAAGTAAGTCAAATTGAAACAATGCCATGTTTGTACACAACTAAATATGGATTTCAAATCTACAAGTGACAAATGTATAACATATTTTAGTTATTTATAGCATTAAAGACTTGCACAGTTGGTTGAAGAACCACAGCAGCATAGCTAAGGGAAAGGGGAGCAGAAAGCCCAGCCTTACAGTCTGTTGTCTAATAAATTAATACTAACTATTTCACTATAAATGCGTGGGAAGCATATCTAATGTGAAATGTTAAGTAAAATTTTCTGTCATGGCAAGAAGAGGAGTTATATAATAGCTATTTACTTTTCTGAATGTTTTTTTATGAACACAGACAACAAAGTATGCTTTTGGATTGTTCAAAATGAAAGTTAATTATCTGAGAAGTGATTCAAACAGTGGAAATAATTATTTAAAGCAAATGAGTTCTGCGCCCTCTTACTGAAATCTGATTATTTTTGTGCATCTCTGTTCTGTAACTGCATACTGTTCAGTTTGCATCTATCCATGGAGCTTATTCATGATTGTTAGAGGAACCAGTCCAATTATGGAGCCGGTAAAATTTCATCTGTAAGCACAGAGAAGAGGATTCAGTCGTAATATCCAATAATTATTGGTCTCTGTGGTATGCAAGTGGTATGACAATGATGTGAATGCAGTAGGACAATGTCTGGGATGTGATTTCAGAGTGACACTGAGGTCTTGTCTGTGCTCGTTGTGATATATCTAAATCATAGTCTAGTTATTTCTATATTTCCTGAGTTAACTTCAATAGCTAATCTTTAGCTTCTTTTTTCCACTGTTTTTTGCAGGTTTGACAGTTTATGCTTAAATGAATAGCTGATGACCTCCTAAATCTATGACCATATAATGCCCTTACTCAAGGACAATGTCAATTCCAAAATCTTATTTCTCTAAGCCTGGTTTCTGAATAATGGACCGTAACAGCAAATATGCTATTTGTCAGTGTGCTAGTTTTAATTGTTCATGAAACACAAGTCATGTGAATATTGTGGGATGCTGTTTCCAAGAACCAGTTTTGAGACACAACTAATGTGTACTAGTTGATGTCTTGCGTTAGAGTCATACCCAAACTGCTCACGTGCTAAGAGGGAAGAATCTGTCTTGTCTTAACTAAGAGCCATAATATTTCCCTTATATACCCACACAAAAATGTCCCTTTACAAGATATTCTAAAGCACCTACAGATGTTTCAAATCAGCCCCCTTCTAATTAAAAATAAACAAAAACAAACTAAGGCTGAATTCTCTGCACCTTCAATACCAACAGTAAAAATGAACAATTATATTGAACAGTATGGCTGGTTGAATGTCCAGACTGTGTAACAATGAGTTATACAGCTAGAATTGCAGCATTTGTGTGAAATGTCCTGTGTGGTAGGGGAAGAATCAGCTTGCCAGATTTATCTTCTGTCTCATCAGGTGGAAAACTTAACAATAATGATTGTCAAACTTGTTTTTAAGTTAATAATTTTAAACTGAATTTTGAAGAGCAAGGGTATTAAATAAGTATGAAACTGGAATTATCTAAGTATTTTGTGTAGAAAATAAGGCATACAGGTGTCTGCTAATTCTTGTATATTCATCTTTACAT